AATGGTGTTTTCGAGAGAAGTATCAATGCTTCTTTTATTACTATTGTGCCTAAGAAAGAAGATGTATCTTGTATCAGTGACTACAGGCCTATTAGTCTCGTGGGGAGCATTTACAGGATTATTTCTAAAGTGTTTTCCAATAGACTCGAGAAGGTGCTTAGAATGTGTTTGTGGACGGTAGGTAGATCCTGGATGCCGCTTTGGTGGCAAATGAACTTGTAGACTCCAGAAGGAAAAATAGAGATCCCGGCTTACTATGCAAGTTGGACCTTGAGAAGGCTTTCGACCATGTCGGAGTTCCTGGATTTCATTATGATGCGGATGGGGTTTGGGGCAAGATGGAGGGGATGGATCAAGTTCTGCATTTCCTTAGTCAGATTCTCTATCCTAGTTAATGGTAGCCCGTGTGGTTTCTTTGGCAGCTCCAGGGGTCTCAGGCAAAGAGACCCCCTATCCCCCATGCTTTCTAGTGATGGATGCTTCGAGTAAAATGATGGATCGTGCGGCGGGCGGAGGCTTCTTGAGAGGATTCTTAGCTCCGATTGGGATGCCCAGTGCCCAAAGAGTCTCTCATTTGCTTTTTGTGGATGACACCTTGGCTTTCTGTGATGCCGATATGGATCAGTTGACCTACCTGAAGCAGGTCCAGCAGTGGTTTCAGATAGTATCAGGTCTCAAAATCAACCTCGGCAAGTGTGAGATTTTCCCGGTGGGTGAGGTTGCTAACATTGATGTTTTGTCTTATGTTCTCAGATGTAAGGTGGGCTCCCTTCCCACTACTTACCTGGGTCTCCCATTGGGCGCTTCGCATAAGGATACTACGATTTGGAATCCAGTGATCGAAAGGGTTGAAAAAAGATTTGCAGGCTGGCTGAAACGGTACTTGTCAAAGGCGGAAAGGAAGTGCTCATTAAAAGCACTTTATCGAGTATGCCCACCTATTACTTGTCCCTGTTGCAAGCTCCTGTGAGCATCACAGAAAAACTGGAGCGGCTTCAAAGGAATTTTCTTTGGGATGCAGCGGATGGAACTAGAAAGTATCATCTAGTGAATTGGCAGACAGTCACTTCCCCAAAGAAGTGGGGTGGACTTGGAGTGAAAGATCTTAGAGTATTCAACAGAGCTTTGTTGGGGAAATGGCTGTGGAGATTCGGGGTAGAAGAGCATGCTCTATGGAGGGAGGTCATAGTAGAAAAGTACGATTTCACGGGAGGGGATTGGAGGACCAAGGCAATCACAACACCTTTCGGGTGTGGCATGTGGAGGAGCATCATGAAGAATTGGGAATGCTTCAGTGGCAACATGTCTTATAGGGTGGGAGATGGAAGGAGAATCAGCTTTTAAAATCATAGGTGGTGTGGAGAGGATACTCTGAGGGTCTCCTTCCCCATGTCTTCAGAGTTTCAAACCAGAAGGAATTGATGGTCCAACAGATTCGTAAGGAGCATGAAGGGGGAGTAGTATGTGACCTCTCATTTAGAAGGAAAATGCAAGATTGGGAGATTGCGGAACTCCAAGATTTATTGACACTACTATATGGGCAAGACAGGCCTCTGCCATCTTGTGATTCTTGGAGATGGGGTTTGCGTGGCGATGGTTTGTTTACCGTAAAGTCCTTTTACCAGAGTATGTTGGTGAGAAAGGAGGCCTCTTTTCCATACTCCTCGATCTGGATTCCTAAGTCGCCCACGAAGGTGTGCTTTTTTGCATGGCTAATGGCGAGGAGAGTGATTTTGACTAGTGAGAATCTTCGAAAGAGGGGAATTACACTTGTTAGTTGGTGCTATATGTGTAAAAGCTCAGGGGAAGAAGTTGATCATCTTTTGTTGCATTACCCTGTGTCCTCGGCTTTGTGGAGGGCGATCCTAACCTTTTTGGTGTTCAATGGGTGATGCCAAGCACTGTAAAGGAAATGCTATATAGTTGGGCCGGTTTCCGTAGAAGAAGAAAGCAAAAGGCGTGGAAGTTCGCCCTGTTAGCTCTCATGTGGATAGTTTGGGGGAGAGAAATAGGAGAGCTTTTGAGGGAATTGAGTCTCCTTTTTCACATCTTAAGAATAGTCTTTTATCTTTGATCGCTTTTTGGTGCACTCATATAACCCCTATTTGTATAGAAGATTGGGCGTCTTTTGTAGAGAATCATGTTCTGATGTAAATTCTCTACTTTTTGGTATACTTCTTGTATACGGGAGTTTCTCTCCCTTTTGATTAATACAATTTACCTTATAAAAAAAACCATCTTTCAAATCTTGTTCCAGGTAGAAAGTGCATCTCTTTGAATTGCTGCAATGTTTGGTACTAGCATAGCATATTAGAAATTGTCATCTCTTTTTTCTCTCTAAGTTATTATCAAGTGACCTTTCGAGAATTTGCTTCTTTTGTTGCATATTATTTTGCTTTGCAATAAGCTCTTCCTGATGTGTTGTTTCTGCTTTTAAAATGTCAGATTAAAAATGCAATACTGTCAGCAGAACATTCTCTGAAAGAGTCGATATTTGGACCAAAGAAAGGTGTTCAAGAACGCGAGACTGAGAAATTGGCCCCTAGCTCGTCAGAGAAACATCAAAAGTCTGGCGGCTAGCTTGTTTTCTCGTCTAAGGAGGCAGAATGTAGGACTACAGCAACCCAACATCTGTAACTCTACTTTAGTTTCTGAGTTCTTCTTTGAGTGAATGTGAATATTAGAGTTGGCCTTGTTTAAGCATATTACTGATGCTGTAAATGTGATCGATGCTGGAGTGTTTATTTTGGTATCCAGGGATCTTTCATCAGTTGAATGAATTACACTTTTCGTCTATAACCTGACAAGCTCACCTTCATGTGAGCTGTTATTCTCATGAGTTTAACTCTTTTAAGAAAAACTCAGTTCAAAAGAGTATTAGTCTAATCAAGGTGCAGTTTCCATTTAGGGGTCTAAGGTGTATAACCGGAGCCTGTGGAAATTCATGAAATATGTGTATTTTTTTTTTTGGCCATCTTGAATGAATTGCTTCTGGAGTGCGACATGTAGGAACAGGGTTTAGTTTGGTTTGGTTTCCATAAAAAGCGAACTAACCTGACTCATGTATACTCCTAACTTGCATAAAGTTTCTTAGTGCGCATTTTCGTATCATACTTCAGCCAATCCTGTACTGAATAGCGCTTGATGTGTTAGATTAGATGAATGTTGCGAGTTCAAACTCTATTCCGGACCAAAATCTTGATATTCAAGTAGAGAAGGAAAGAAAAGTGAGTCCGTTAACCAGAGAGTTTTAAACTGCGTGTCAGTTTGCCCTCGGGACTTTTTGATTATCGACACAACGTGTAATAACAAAGATATGTGAATAAGAAATACAAGAAGATTTCTTGATTATCATAAAAACAAAAAACAAGAAAAGTTTAGAAAGCTTCGGTGTTCGAAAGTAACTAGGGAGAGGAACAGAAACTAGTTCTTATCCACCCAATATGGAAGCATTGATCGGTCGAAATCTTTTCTTTCAGAAATAGCCTCTTTCCACTTAGCAAATAAGACTCCTGGAGGCTGGAGTTGAGTTCAAATTCAGTGACTCCAGTCTTCTGTATTGGCTAATGGAAATCGAGGAAGCAAATTGGCATGACAATCATAAATTTAATACACTTTCTCTCTTAGGTAATCCAATTTGGAGAACTTGGGGAAAAAGGCTTCGAGCTGCTACTTGTATCCTCTAGTAATGACTATAAGTTGCTACTGCTAAATTACAAGCTAATTAATTCATAAGAAAAAATTATCCATGCTTGCCTTAACATTTTACATTTTGTAACAAACGGAAAAAAAAAATTAAAAGTAAAAAAGAAGAATGAAAGTGAAGAAAAATAAAAGAAAGAATGCAAAAAAAATAGAAAATTGGAAAAAAGGGAGATTGTCTGAGCCCGGGTTCGAACCGGGGACCTCTAGTGTGTGAGACTAGCGTGATAACCGACTACACCACCCAGACTTGTCTGTCCGTTTAACGCTAGTTTATTTATAAAATTAAAATCAACTGACGCATCTTAATTAGTTTGAGCATTCACACTATTGAGAATCGAACAGATAATACACGGTCATTTAGCTATTTATCTCTTTTGGTAGAGTGTCCTAATTGTTTAAAGAACTTTTTTACCTTTTTGCTTTCGAGGAGCTTTTGGTCACATATGAAATTTATGTCAATAGAATATATAAAGAACTATTAGTATTTATTATTGTTGTTGTAATATAGATCTAAGATGAGCTTAAACAGAGTGGCATGATGAGCGAGAATTCATACCACCGACCCCAACTTTGCTTGAAATTGACGGATAATTGTTGTCACACAACAACATACTTTTTCTTCTAGTAATTTTCTGGTTTAATTTTTGAGGTATCTATCTTTTCCATTATCATTGTCAGCTTGCAATTCTCACCTTTATGTTCTTGATGAAAACATTAAACATGTAAAACAGTATGATATATTTTCATATTCTACTGACCGTGAATAACTTTTTATCACTGAAGGATGTAATTTTGATAAAGTTTCAACCAATTCCGACTAGACAATTTCTGAAAAAAGGTCAATTTCTACACAAACCTTGGCAAAGCTTAGTCATGACCATAAAACAGTAGGACTATCAAATGAGAGCACACATCCAATAGGTTTTATTGCTGACATATCAAATCAATACCAAGCCTGGAAAATTAATCCAAACAGGAGCTAGAGAAGGTTTTTTTTTTTTTTTGGGTGAAGTCTTTCATGTATCTAAAAGTACACATCTGCGTGTCATAAATTACCCAAAACATTCGAAAAAACATAACTTGTAGCCTTCTTCATTGGTGAATCCAAGAAAAATGTGCAAAGGATCCAATCTCATAAGTCACAATCGAAAACTTTCCTTGAAATTATGAACATATCTTTCCTAATATCATCAATTTTAGGCCAAGCATATGAGAATATTCCCAACTAACCCAATCTGAAGGAAAGCGACGTGAGCCACCTTGTCGTCCTCAATGAAAAGGCAATCAGCCTCATCTTTGTACATTGTTGGAGATTGATAAACTAGAAATGGTGAAGCAAAAGAACATGAAATATGGACAGTGGTGAAGGATCATAGTAATAGCTAATTGTTGGTTGCAGTTGTTAGTGAATGTCAATGTAGTAAGCTGCAGCAGATAAGGATATTTGATAGATGTCCAATGGAAAATTCACCAAGTTCAGACACATCTGTCTGATAAATTAGCTTTGTCTATTTAATTTCAAAACCACCTACAATGTTAAGGATTTAGGAAGGGATATGAACAACCTAAAACAGATACCCCAATACAAACTCGACCATCAAAATATGAGCAAGCTTAATAAGGCTCAGAGATGACAGACAGCAACATTGACACAATGAATTATAATATAATAAAAAATAATTCAGCTAATATACATTAACATTGTAAGAAATTTTACACTATATGATCACCTAAAAGCCATTTACAGAGGTACCTTCTATAGCAAGCATGGACTGGTAACCTGCAAGGCATGGTAAATAACCTATTATCGCAGGTAAATTAAACTATGTGCAAATCTTTTTAGCGATGTCGATGCATATAAGTTAAACTCTAATAAAAATTTGCTACAAACTCATATCCTTCCAGTAAGACAAACTTGCACTTTATTTATGTATTTTCAAATCTGAGAGGGCTATGCAGAAGCTCCTTGTAACCAGAGAAATGAAATCAATGCGATAGGAGATACATCAGATCAGCTTCAGGATCAGATAATTAACAACTCATAATATCATACAGCTACAGCATGTTCCCAAAACTATCTTATCTTGCATAGTTTCATAGATTTTCTCAAGCCGTTCAATAATTTCTTGAAAGGAGGGTCTACGATCAGGGTTCTTGTGCCAGCATTCACGAAGCAGCCTGCACACAATGTCATGTCAGTTTTTGTTGTGTCTCTGTGTCTAATTTCGACGGATTTAAGTTGTATACTGTCAAATTAAAGATATTTTAAGCTGTCAGTGAATTTAGCATCTGATAGCAGGTTAGTTACCATTTTACTAGGTTACCACGTAGTGTCTATAATCGAGATTTACCCGTAATTACTTTAAAACTGACTTCATTGTGTAATATTTTTCACACCCAATGCATAGAACTTAAACTCAATTTGCTATATGCTGAAAGGACCTGAGATTGGCTATAGGAAATTTTAAGGATGACGTACCTAGGCACTCAATCATATATATGCTGTGATGTACAATCAGCAATTAGAAAGCAAGTGGTAGTAGCAATCAAAAATAGAAACCATAGGATAGCATATAAAAGAAGTAACCAATTCTCCATGTGATTGGAGTGCCTACCTAGGATCCTTTTTATAAGGGTGGTGTTCGAGTCAGCTTGCATGCACCTAGATTAATCTACCAGGTAATTTCTGCCTCCCGCCAACACATGTACCTAAGATTTTCTAGCATATAAAAGGAGTAACCAGCTTGAAACCCAGAAAAGGAGAAAGTGCTTGATACTCCATTGTGCCTAGAGTTATAGTGTTTATTTAATCGCTTCTATTCCAGAAACCAAAATCTGAGAAACACAAGGCCACATTTACTTCGTCAACTAAACTGGCCTCCAGATTCTTGCCACAGAAACCAAATTTGAGAAATTACTGTCTATAAGAATGCAACTCATCTAATTTTCTATGTGAGTTCGGACACTGACACCTCAAGTTATTGAAATGAAATCTGCATATCTAGAAAGTACATAAAAGTACTACAAAAAATAATTCTATAACTTAAATTTATTGGATTGTTCAAAAAATAGTAGTAAAAAATATGTTTGACTCTCTAAATGGTAATGAGTTCACATAAAACAGGAGAAACAACCTTCAAGTTTATTATGGTATTTATGATTTCTTTCTACTATCTACTAAAAGATAATTATCATTCAAATCCTATTGCCAGATTTTTTCAATATCAATTTGTATGCCAAATATGCAAAAACAAAAAATTTATGTCAAATGCAAGGTATTAGTCCAGATAATTATTCACAATTGAAGAAGGTGAGTCATTGATTTGATTATATACACAATGATTTCTTTTCACTTTTCAAAATCAGGAAACATTTTAAAACTTTGCAATCTGGACAAGTTCAATATTATTCACATAAAACAGGAGAAACAAACTTCAAGTTTATTATGGTATTTATGATTTCTTTCTACTATCTACTAAAAGATAATTATCATTCAAATTCTATTGCCAGATTTTTTCAATATCAATTTGTATGCCAAATATGCAAAAACAAAAAATTTATGTCAAATGCAAGGTATTAGTCCAGATAATTATTCACAATTGAAGAAGGTGAGTCATTGATTTGATTATATACACAATGATTTCTTTTCACTTTTTCAAAATCAGGAAACATTTTAAAACTTTGCAATCCGAACAAGTTCAATATTAACAAGCATTTTCAGCAAAAACAATCAAAACGCTCAAACAACTACGTCAAAACCAGTTAAAAAATACTATACTTACCCCCAAACATTGAAACTCAAAATGTAACACAGATAAAAAATAAAAAATGCTAAGAAAGACCTACATCGTATAGACACTTTGGAAATACAAACTAATACAGTTGGACTTCAATGATCACCACATAGGCGTAGTTCTATTAGCAAAAAAGGGAAAAATGGTAAGTTTGAAAATGCAACAAAAATAGACTAACTTACGTCTTGACTGGCTCCGGAAATATGTATGAAGCAAGATGTGGCCGATAATCTTCGTATGCTGTCTTATCGGCCACCGTCTCTGGAGCTGCTTCCCTATTTGATGGTCCTCCTTGGAACATCTGTAATACAGAAGCATATATATCCCTAGCTTTTATTTTATATTTAAAGAAACGACATTGCAAAGCCAAATCATCAAACCATGTGAGGATTGTTTCCGTAGCTATTTTACTCTCATGATTAGGGGCCTAACTTTCCACAGCAAGATTTGAGAACACGAAGTACCAACTCAACATCTAATAGATGTATGGAAAACTTTCCAAAAGAAACTCTGATGATGAAAATGGATAAACCGTGCATATCTTCAGTTGGACAAAATGTAAACGTGTAATTTCAACTTACCTCATGAACGATTAGAGCAAATGAGAAAACATCAACACTCTTTCCATATGATTCTCGACGGTAAACTTCTGGAGCCATGTATCGATCTAATAACCATGGATATAATTATGTTCGGGAGTCGACTGACCAAAGAAAAGGAAATACAGATTAGCTTAGTAGTAGATCATACATGATCCAGTCCCTCCAGTCATTTTGTAACCATAAGAATCCTTCTGTTGTGCAATTTTACTGAGTCCAAAGTCTGTGACTTTAAGATGCCCTGCTTCATCCTGCAATACATTTCTGCAGGAGTAGAAATTTGATATAATAGCTGCAAAGATATCTTAAATCTGAACTATAAAGGAAGTAGTTTGTACTCTCTGAAGTGACAAGTACCAATGGTTTGATGCATATGAGCTGAGTTAAATGTAACTAGTGAAACTGCCAGTACCTAGGAGTCAAATCTCTATGGATAATAGCATGAGGCTTATGCTGATGAAGATAATTCATTCCTCTGCACATGCAAACAGAGAACTTAGTATAGCTGCTTTAAAGAGTACAATATGCACGACAACCACTCTTTAAACAGTAAAGTATGTCAACCACGAAAAGTGAGTCTGACAACTGCTTCAATGTTTAAAGACATTTCATAATGAGGAGCACCAAGTTGAAAGCAAATAACCCACAATTATTTTCATTCTTTGATCCATCTTTTTGGCATTTGATACTTTGCGTTAAGAATTTTGGATTGCACTTAGTTGTCTACACTTTCCATATCAACGCACCTTTTATCTATGGTCGTGGCTAAATTAAGGGGAGATTTGGTCATGTTTCTGCTCAGATAGACTACAAACTTTATAATAAGAACAAAGTACATATTTTATTGAAGAACTCTGGCTATAAAGAATCTGAACCAATATTACCAAATTTATCTTGGCATAAGATGCATCGTAAGACTATTGCACATTAATGACTGGAAGAGTGCCTCTTTTCCTGTAACTTTCAATTAAAATACTTGGTGATTGCACATAGTAAATGCAGATGATTGCATTTAACTGAAAAGAAAGAGGTGAAAAAGCTACAAAGTTGTTTTGAAGAACAATGAATAAAAAATGCTGTAAATTGTGGTAAAAGGTGAAATGTAACACTTGAATTCTAGGTGGCTTTTGATTGAACATTATACCTTGCAATATCTAATGCATAAGCAACTGCTGTCAGTGGATCAAGTCTTCCTTTCTTTCTCAATTGGTCATACAAGCTTCCCTAGATTCCAATTTGTAGAAATATCAGTGCGTGCATTACTGAAAGCCCATATAATAACACTTATATAGCTATTACGGAATATCAAGTGAAATCAGAGTGCTTGTGACATCATACACGGCTTACATTTCGAAGATACTCAGTAAGGAAGATCAATCGATCAGATTGCTTTAGGACGCCAAGAAACTGCACAATATTGGGATGGCGCAACTTTTGCCACAACGCTAGCTCCTTCAGAAAAGCATTCCTGTGAAGCTCTCAATTATGGATGGATGAATCCGAATGTTAAAGCCAAGTTGACGAAGTAAGTTGTTACTCTACGTCATATTAACGAATCCGAATGTTAAAGCCAAGTTGACGAAGTAAGTTGTTACTCTAAGTCATATTAACCCAAGTTCTGGAAAAGAAAATATCAGAGATCTAAAGAAGCCGTAGAAATTTTGACACAATAAAAGTCCATTGCTTGGCCAACAACTTTTTGGCAAGCTTTTGACATATAGACCTGGAGTGAAATTATCTCCTTGGGAGTATAGTTGGTTCTTAATGATACTGAAGATAGAAGACCTTAAAAGTGATTTGATTGTACAGGATAAAAAAGAACATGAAACAGTCAACCACTTCCAATCAGTCCCATCAGTTGCTTATGTGATTTTTAAATTACAGCTCTGGAAAAAATCAGTAAACTTACTTCACCATTGGGTTTGATGCAATGGAAGCGCGAATGGTTTTTGCAGCAACTTCTGTGCCACGCCACTTTACCAAATAAACTTCACCATATGCTCCCTGCTATTCACACTCACAATCATTAATAGTCAAAACAAATGTAAGGTGAATTGACATATTAAAAAAACATAGTCAAGTTGATATTTGCCTTGGCTTCTGGGTAAGAGAAATTACTTCTCCAATAAGAGCTGCATCCTTCATGTCAACTTCACCATGATCAATTATACAACATGGCGTAGGAGAGTCACCCAACTATGTCAAGCAAAAGGAAATTACGGTAAAAAGAGACGTTGATATCATACAAAATTTCCGGGAAATTCACATTATCTAACACGGCAACAAAAATAAAGATAACATAGTGGTAAAGAACATACAGTTCTGACAAGGATCCTATCTACATTAAGTCATTAACTCATCCAGAAGGCATACTTGTGACTTAGCCTGTCCTGTTTTCTTGCTGGGGATTATTGTTACTTAGCTTCCTTTGTTTATTCACATAATTATAAGCTAGCTGATCACGAGATAAATGAGTTAAATGAGTTGGGATGCAACATACAATTCATGCTCACAGAAAAGGGATGTCATGCATGGCTCGCAGGATATCATGGTTCAAAATCACTACTCATAAACCACTTAAAGTAAAAGAAAAGAAGAAGAAAGAAAAGGAAACAAGAGGATATTTCTCACAGATTTTAACATGCTGTATAGATCCCCTAATTCATGCATTATACTGATAGAAACCCCAAAACCAGCGTATGAAGCAACTTTTGTTACAAGTCCAACATCGAAATTGGAAAGTCAGCTAGTGACCGAAGGAAATAAAGGAGTTAGGCACGTGATTTTTAGTTGTTTTGGTTGTAACTGTGAATGGGAAGAGTAGTTGTTAGTTGATAGGAAATAAAGGAGTTAGGCACGTGATTTTAAAACGGCGGGTTCATTGTGTAATTTCATTGATGGTTCTCTCTCTCTCTCTCTCTCTCGGCTGCTTTATTGCGTTTGACTGTGCGGTTAACTCTAGCTAGTCTGCTGGAAAATCCGTTTGGGATCCATTCTTGCGTTTGTCTCCTTGGGATTTGTCATTTCTTTGATTCATGTTGACTGGTTTCTTCTTTGATTGATAAAGGAAAGAAATTTTTAAGAACGCTTCAACATTCTGTAAATACACCAATCACATGCAGATATGATTGAGAATCCATATATTTTATCTACTATTATTCCCTTTTGAAAAGGTGGTTGATGATAGGCTATAATTACCTATTTTAGTCGCTTATTACACTTTAATTTACTGCACTTTAATTGAGTTTGAGCTTTAATCGCTAGTGTTTTGTACTAATTGCGTGTTTTATGCCTTGTAGGAGTGATTCCGAGCTAGGTAGATGTTATGGAACGAATTAGAGCTATTTGGAGCTTTGAAGTCTGAGTAAAAGCCCAAGGAATTAAGCCGGGATCGCGTTCGGGGGTCGAGAACCACGTTTGGATGTCAAAAAATCAAGAAAAATCCGTACTAAGAAAAAGACACAACCGCTCCGCGTGGCGTGCCGCGGCTGTGTAATTGTTGTTGTTGTGATTTTGCACGCTCTCTGATAAAGCCCACTACCACACCGCGTGGCACATCGCCCCATGCGGGGCGCCTGTGCAATTTGTGCAGAGCCGGAATCCTATTTCGCACAGGAAAAGGTGTTTTCGTCTAGGCTCGACCCTACTTGGTATAAGTACATGTAAAAACGTTATTTTTGGGACTTTTGACACACCTTAGATCGAGGAGACTATTTTGGGAGGAGAGAAGACGTTGGGAACATTCTTTGGAGGAGAAAATCATCGAGTTCTTCATTCCTTCATCTTTTCTTTGTAATTTGTTTATGCAAAATACTCGGAAAGTTGTTACTACGAACATGAGTGACTAAGCACTTTAGTTTCTAGGGTTGTGGTTGACATGATTATTAACGTTTATTAATTACATCTTCGTTGATTCGGATTATCATCTTGTGGTTGTTTCTTTAATTCTAGTTTTAACTTGTGAATTGTTGTAGCTACCAATTCACCATACTATCTATGCTATGCTTGAGAAAGTCGTGTTTAGATTAGAGTAGAATTAACGAGAGCTTGTTTCTGAACCCGTGACTCGGGGAAAGATTTCGCTATTAGGATAGGAATATACCTAACGGTCTTGCTTAGTTAAATATCGTATTATATTCGTTAACGATAGACTCAATACCATAGGAATATAGGATTGATATATTGTGAACAGGAGAGTAGTATTGTTGGAACATGCTATTCATATAAACGATCCGGCTAATTAGCAACCATAGATAATCTGGATTAACAAGTGTGATTATTGAACTTAATAGGATTGATAAACCAACCACAGCCCTGGAATCTTCATCTCCTCTGAATTAAAATCTCATCATACACATTTGCATTCTTGATAACTTAGTTGTTACTTGTTTAATTTCTGCAATAGTAGTTTAATAGAAAAACATCACTCTCAATTATTTTGGACAGTTAATTGATTTTAGCTTGCTTAGTTAACGGTTGATCTAAGTCTATGAGCGTTCGACATCCGACTTTCAAGTCACTTTATCACACGTATACTTGCGTGTATTTGGGGAACCAACAGTGGTATTAGCCAATATGTAGGATTTCACCAACCAGGAGATTGTAAGGCTAGTAAGCAGGGCGACAATAAACTTATGATGGTGTTCTCATTTCATCCAGTCAAAAGGAGTTTCATCATACACTAAAATGGAAAGAGCCACTGAGAAGAAGGCATGGAGATCCTACACCTAGAGTGGACAATGCAATAATCTGAAACCTAGAAAGGGAAATATATTAAGAACACGATTCAATATCTCAACACATTAGCTTTGGGTGTGCATAATTCCGTAAATCCATAGTTCTAGATCTGTTAGTAATCGACAGAGGATCTTCCAACTCTGCAAGTTCATTGGAATATTTGGTAGTTAGGCACTATTTCACTCAGCTTTCTTTGTTAAAGTTATGTTTCCTCTTCATGTCATCCAATGCAATTTCGACTGTTTCTTTGGACTAAAAGAGCCTTTCTTTAGGAATTGATCTTTTCATCGTTCCATTTTCAAAAGTTTGGATAATTAAGTAACCAAATATGACATGTTTACTTTTGCAACTAAAATCAGATCAAAAAGAAAAAAGGAGGAGGAGGAGGAGGAGGAGGAAGAAGAGTGTGGATCTGCAAACGTTTTTAAAATGGGGACAAAGTTTTAAACACCGGCTCGCAAAAGGGACACCAATGAAATTTACTGACTTAATTATGTTTTAGACATGCCTATTCATTCACATGCGGCCCCAATTCTGTTTCATGAGCCCAACACGTGAAATTTTTATTTGATGATAAGAAATGATCTTGGGCGTAACTCAACCCTAAAAGCTAGTTCATAAGAGGAGGATTGCCCAATAAAATATAAGGAGACCACAACCTATTCCTTCAGACAATTTTGGGACTTGACAACCCACCACACGCTCAGGACTATACAACTGGAGTGTGGATAACATAAACCGAGAGTCCAACATTGAGAAACACAACAACAAGGATCGATGGGTTTGGATCAATATTTGCAAACGTTTTTAAAATGGGGACAAAAGTTTTAAACGTCCGCTCCCAAAAGGGACACCAATGAAATTTACCGAGTTAATTATGTTTTCGCCATGCCTATTCATTCACGTGCGGCCCTAATTCTTTTTCATGTGCCCAACACATGGAATCTCTATCTGATGATAAGAAATGAATTTTGAGCCTGACTCAACCCTAGAAGCTAGCTCATGAGAGGGGGATTGCCCAATAATATAAGGAGACACAACCTATTCCTTCAGCCAATGCTGGGACTTAAAAACCCACCACACGCCCAGGATTGGACAATTGGAGCGGGGATAACATAAAACGGGAGTCCAACATTGAGAAACACAACAACAAGGATCGATGGGTTTGGCTCTCGTAACATATTGAAGAGTGTGATTATCTCATTTAAGAAGATAAGTTATAGGAGGAGAATGCACTTTTATTTACTTAATTATGTCTTCAACAAATCAGTGATGTTCCTATACGAGCCAATTAACTAGTATAGCTGGCAGCCCGTCTAAGCTTATACTATAAGCAAAAAAAGTCACAGATAAAAGTGATGTGTGCTTAGTGTCTGAGTGATCGATGAATATATAATTTAGAACTATAAACAAAGTAGTTTGTTACTCCTTGCATCAGCTTTTCTAGTCAATCTTATTAATAGAAGAGTTTCTTTTTCAACCATGTATAGCAGGAAAAGCAAATTACCCATTCTGTTTCCAAGCAGTATTGTGAGACAAAATTAAGATATCATTCGGAGTACACTGTGGTGGAAATCATATGACCGAGAAAAAAGGTTAGGACATATACCGGATCATATCCACCATGTGCCCCTAATATCTTGCAGACATCCTTGTGACCAAAGTTGCAGGCATCGGAAAGTGGCTGCACGAGATTTTGATCAAAGCTTACACTAATCAATTTGTTGAGAAACAAGCTATAGCCCTATATTATAACCTTACAGATTGCTACAGTAAAAGAAAAGAACCATATATCTTCAAGTAAATTTTGGTTATAGCATGGAAGCAATCAATCCAATATTTACAGTTCAACCATATATTCCTTTTTATTGGTTTTGAATTGCTAATAAATCCTATATTTACAGATCATCGGTTATTGTATAATAGTATACAATATAGTAGTATAAAACATTCAAACCAAATAAGAAAATGTAATTCAATGACAACAAACAATATAGTCTATCCACGCATTGTTGCAACAACAGAATACGGTAAAATAAAATTGATGCAAAACAATAATCCAGAACAGACTGTAAAGGTAATTCACTTAATTGCAATAAGTGCAACTTACAGTTCGACCCCAGCGATCTGTGGAGTTCACATCAGCTCCTTTCTCAAGAAGTAGAACAACAATCTCCACACAACCTTCAGAGGCAGCTAAATGAAGTGCTGTTCTCCTATCATAGTCAACCAGATTGGGTTCCACTCCTTTTCCGAGCTCTTGCATCACACCTTCTTTGTCACCCAAACCTGAACAGTGCAGAAGACGATAAGGACCTCCTGAGTCCATTCTTTGAGGTAGCATCTGCTGCTCAAAATGTACCATTAACCAAACTTAGTGCAAGAAAAAACTTCACTATACAATTAATAAGAAGCAAGTGTGATGTGAACATAACATCCATTATAGCAAGCAGGGCGGAGACACACTGGATCACTTCACCTAAAAAATATGTATGTAAGCATATTATTTTATAACAATAACATGCATATTACACCATTTTAAAAAGTAATACAAGTAAATATCAACTTCAGATTCTTTCTCAAGAAAAAATATCAACTTGAGATAGAAAGTAAAGCCTTAAACCCAACAACCCGTGTACAAGACGAATTTACGAAATTGGATCAACACCACTCGAGCAAAATCTTGTGTATGCTACTGATGGCAAGTGTTTCCTTAAATGCTGGTCCTTTTGCAACTAAAAAGTTGCTAGCTAAATAATACCAACAAACTTAAAGGTCCATTATATGGGAATGTGATGTGCTTTTGCGTTTTTGCGTCAGACAGAATGGAGGATTGAGTGGCTGGAGGGTCAAAATCTCTATACAAAATCACCTTCTCTTTACATGCAGAGCAAGACATGAAACAATTTCCAAGCATGTTATTGCATAGGGAAGTTTTATGAAAAGTAGAGCAGTAGATTATTTTATTTATATGGTCACCATACCATAGCTTTGATTATTCAATTCACATGGTCACTGGACCATAGCTGACTTTTCAAGCTCATTATATTTTCTTTATTATATTTACTTCAATACATTTTAATTTACTTACTTACCAATATACTACTATATTTCAACTCTAAATAATTAACTCCCTCATAAAAGCAAATCCCATATAAATTAATATATGGGTAGGATCTCTAAAATATTGAGGAATTAAATTTATGATTTTGAAATACGTCAACTCAATCGTATTGTAACAGGGTTTAGTGCAATTTTGCTCCACAAAGAAAAATTGAAAATATAGGAAAATATCTATGAGTGCAAGTGTGCAACAAAACCAACAATACAGCCAAACACACAAAGTTATGAAAAAACTAAAAGACAACAAAAAGTTAATTTTGTCTCTAAGAACATAGCCCGTTTAGTTGGTTTGTAAGGAGAATTAATCACCTTATAAAATTCAACATAGCTCGTACTTTGTTTGGTTATCATTTTACCTTTTCTCATAAATAATACACATATAAGTTATGTATGAATCTATCCATTATTTTATGCGAGAAAAAAATGTGAAATAAGAATGTGAATGTTGACAATACTAAGAGTGTGAAATAAGAGTGTGAATGTGAATGATCTTCAAACTAATACTATTTCTTGTTTCCTCAAACACTATGAATTAATTCAAAAGTACAACAAGTTCAGTACTAATTTAAAAATTGAACCCACAAAGTTTAGATTTTGGATTCACCTCTTTCACAATTACAATCCCTGCATTTTTTTTAATTCTTTTTGGTTTCCCGCTTTGGAGCCCCGACTAATCCGGATTAGCGCGCGTAAGGCCCATTAAAGGGGAAGCACGCCTCGGAGCCTCGACTAATCCGGATTCGCACAGGTAAGGCCCATTAAAGGGGTAAGCACTGCATATTAGGATCTTTTCCATTCGCAGGACTTGAACTCGAGACTCTGGTTAGGTTAGGGATGGAGGGATCCTACCCGTTCCAGCACAATCCGAAAGCCAAAAACTTACACAAAAAATAAAAGAAAAATAAAGAAGAACAAGAACGAAACTATGTTTTATAGTCCAAAATAGACACTGACCTTAGGAGGAGACAAGTGAAGTTTATTCTCGTCCATGAGAAGGAAACTAGAACCCTTGTATCAGAAACAGAAACAAAAGAATTGTTTTTATGTACATGAAAAGAGTGTCAAGTAAATAGAGAAGATTATATAGAAGGCCAAATTAAAGAGGGTCACAATCGAGGACGGAAATGACAAGAAAAAATTGCAGAGCATTTTGCCGGTGGAATGGAGACACATAGTGGTGTTCGTCTAGGCTGATTGATCGATTTTCTTGTGCAATGAGCGGAATTCTTCGATTTTGGGCATAAGCTGTTTGTCTTAATGCTCTTTAGAATGCAAAGCTTGAAAATACCGTAACATTATAAACAAGAATAAAGAATTTTAAAAATCCTCTCTAGTGCGCGCTTCTTTCCTTGCCCACATTCTATCCGAGGTAATTTGTTAAATATTTGAAATGGACATAAAGTATTCATTTTTTCTAAATTCTAAAGGATTAAAATTACTTAGGAATATATGTAAGAGACCTTTTTGAATTCACCTGTAAACAAAAGAGACCATTTTTGTCATTTTCTCAAAAAATATTACTACCTTTTATTAATTTGTGTGTCGTAGTTTGACTTATTGTAGAGTTTATGGGAAAAAAATATATTTAAAACTTGTGGTCCTAAAAACTTAAAGGGTCAAAGCTTTGTGGAATCATAATTTATGTGGATATAAAAGTTTCTTATTAAGGGTAAAATTGGTAAATTAAAAAGTTTAAAGTTAAATTATTTTTAAATATAAAAATATTTTATTCTTTTTAGAATTGACTAAAAAGAAAAGTGTGTTACAAAATTTGAGACGGAGAGAGTACTAGGTAAGTACTTTTTATATGTTAATATTAAAACAGCTACTAGCCTACTAATAAGATACAAATAAAATGCAAAGATTTGAAGGTATAACAATGGCAGAAGCTCTGAGAAGAGAGAGACGGTTAAGAGAGAAATGAACAACTGTTTTATTGAAGAAGAAGATCAGTACATTTATACACCTAACTACCATTAACTTAACCTAATCCACTAACTAATTGATAACTCATTAACAGTTGTCATTAACAGAAAGAAGCACGTGACTAACTAACTATTACATGTGTTATTTCTATATTACAATATGCCTCCTCAAGCTGGAGGTTGTAGAATGTTGAGCACTCCAAGATTGTCAAGAAGATGCACATGTTCAGCAATTCCCAAACCTTTGATTAGCAAATCAGCCTGCTACTCCTTTGTATTCACATGTACTGCTTGAACTATCCCTTCTGTGATCTTGTCTCTAATGAAATGACAATCGATTTCTATGTGTTTTGTTCGTTCATGTAGTATGGGATTTGCTGCAATCTGAATGGAAGACTTACTATCACTAAGAATTGTCACGGGTTGTGTAATCTTCACACCCAACTCTTTAAACAGACCCAGTAACCATATGATTTCAGCAGTTGCAGCAGCCATGCTTCTGTACTCAGCTTCAGCTGAGCTTCTTGACACAGTTTGTTGTTTCTTTGATTTCCAAGATACCAAGGAAGTTTCAAACTTTATCGCATAACCAGTAACTGACCTTCTTGTATTGGGACATGCTGCCCAGTCTGAATCACACCAACATGTTAGCTCCCCTGTGTGATTAAAAGCCATTAAGATTCTATGTCCTGGTGCATCCTTTAAGTATTTTACAACTCTAACTGCAGCATCCCAATGAGACTTCTTGGGCCTTTGCATGAACTGGCTCAAGATTTCCACAGCATAACTGATGACAAATCTTGTAATGGTGACATACATCAACTTTCCAACTAGCCTTTGATAGGCACTGATATCCTGCAATGGGTGATCAATCTTTGACTTTATTTGCCTGATCATATTCTACTGAAGTGAGTTTTTCATTGGCCTCTAAGGGTGTGCAAGCAGGCTTAACCCCACTTAATCCCATCTCTGAGATAAGCTGCAATACATACTTCCTCTGGTTCAACAGAATGCCAGCCTTGGATCTTAGTACTTCAATTCGCATGAAGTACTTAAGTTCTCCTAGGTCCTTGACTTTGAACTTCTGGTGTAAAGTATTCTTGGCCTGTTTGATCAAGTTTGCACTGCTTCTGTGATGAGAAGATCATCCACATAGACTAGGACAATCACTACCTCTTCCTGGCTTCTCATAGTGAATAGAGAGTAGTCATAATTACTTTGAGTGAAACCTACACCTAAAAATGCTTCTGTTAGCTTTGATGTTCCACTATCTTGAAGCTTGTTTAAGACCATATAAGAACTTCATTAACTTGCAAACTTTCTTGTCACCTTGTTGTCTAAATCCCTCAAACAATTCCATATAAACTACCTCATACAAATTACCTTGCAAGAAGGCATTGTACACATCCATTTGGAATAGATTCCAACATTTTGAGGCGGCAAGTTCTATGATTGACCTCACAATGACCATTTTTCCACTGGTGAGAAAGTGTCATGATAGTCCAATCCTTCCCTTTGACCATACCCCTTTGCCACTAGCCTTTCCTTATATCTCTCAATGTCCCCATTTGCTTTATATTTAATCTTATATACCCATTTTGAGCCTACTGTATTTTTACCCTTTGGCAAATCAACTATACACCATGTTTTGTTATCTTCTAAGGACTTTATCTCCTATTTCATAGCCTCAATCCATCTACTGTCTTTGGCTGCTTCTTTGAAGGACTGTGGCTCAATCTGTTGAGAGAACTTGGCCAAATAACATTGATAGTTGGAGGATGTTTTGTCATAAGACAAATAGTTTGAAATTGGATAATTGCAAGTAGCAACCTTCTTTGTAGTGATATAATCTTTCATCCATAGTGGCTCATTGATCTGTCTTGAAGATTTCCTGCCTATGTTTGATGGCACACTTTCATTTTCTTCTTCAAGTGATTTGTTGCATTTCACTGTGTGACTCATTCTGAGCCTCTGCATCCTAAACATTAGGACTCTGAACTTATGCATCCTGAAGAATTGTTGCATCAGTACCATCAGAATTTGCCTCCTCAACTGCATGTTGTGTATCATCTTCTGTTTCTGTGTGATCTATATTTACTGTTGTTTCTAGTAAGTTTGATCCACAAGGAATACTGTTGTGATCTGATACCTTTATATGTAAAGGAGAAGACATAGACAATTCAGATTCATTGCTCATACTAGTACTCCCTTTGGCAAAAGGAACTCAGATTCCCTAAAAACAACATCCCTGCTATTAAAGAATTGCATAGTTTGTAGATCCAGAAGTATATATCCCTTCTATGTTTCAGAGTATCCCATTAAAACTGCTGCTTTAGCTCTTTCAGCAAATTTGTATCCCTTGGGCAGATTTGTTGCATAACATAGACAACCTATAACTCTTAGATGAAGAAGAGAAGCCTTTCTACCATATAGTAGCTCAAAAGGCACTTTGCCCCCTAGAGTTTTTGATGGCAGCCTATTAATCAAATATACTGCAGTATTCACACATATGCCCCAATACTTCATAGGAATGGACCCCTGAAACTTCAATGCCCTAGCAGTGTCAAGAATATGCCTATGCTACCTTTCTACTATGTCATTCTGTTAAGGGGTATAAGGATAACTACTCTGATGAATGATGCCAAGATTACTCAACAAAGTTGCACATTGTGAGCTAAAAAATTCAGTCCCATTATCTGATTTCGGTATCTTAACCATGACTCCAAACTGAGTTTGAACCATGTTAAAGAATTGTTTTATTGCTACTATAACTTCAAACTTTAGCTGCAAGAAATGTAGCCATGTGTATCTAGAATGATCATCTACAATAGTAAGGAAGTAGTACTTGTTATTGAATGTAGGAACCTTATAAGGGCCCTAAAAATTCATATGTACAAGATGAAATAATCCATCAGCTCTAGAGTCACTAAGTGGGAATTTCAACCTAGTTTATTTTGCTAAGGGGCAAACAAAATAATTATTCTCTGCTATACTACTAACATAGCTATGTAACTCTTTTATATTCTTCGTAGTTGACAATGAGGGATGTCCCGGTCTCATATGCCATAGGTTGCTGGTTCCTTCACACAATCTACTCATTGCACAAATAGCCTTCAGCTTGTTAGTTAATCTTCCATTTCTAAGCAAATATAATCCACTTCTCTATCTATTAATCCCATTCACTCTGCTATTGCAGAGGTCTTGAAATACACAAAAGTCAGGAAAGAAGTTGACATTGCAAGACAGTGATCTTGTGAGCTTTGAGATTGACAATAGGTTGAACCTAAAATCAGGTACATAAAGAACATTTTTCACTGTTTTTTTATCCAGCAAACATGCACTACCAATATGTGTGATATCAGCTTTTTCCCCTATAGGTAGATGTACTCTGTCATTGTTAGATTTGTTTGTAGTTATAGTATTAGTTAATAATTCTAATTTTTGAGGCAATGTGATGAGTTGCTCCTGAGTCAATAATCCACTCCTCTTCCTTTTGGTTGGAATTAGACATTAAACAAGTGACATTACCTGCCATGTTAGCCTGGTGATCACCACAATCTTTGTTTAGCAAAATCAGAATTTGATTGTACTGCATCAGTGAAGTAGTATCCCTTGTTTTCAGTTGTTGTCTGTCCATGTCCATCTCCTTGTGAACATGATCCAATATCTTCCTGATTCACAGCTGCAAGGGGTTCTCTCCTCCAATTATCTGGCCTTCTTCCACCATTTTGATTTTCATTGTTAGTAGCTCTCCAGTTGTCAGGGTTCCCTGTACCTTGTTTCTTCTTTGGAATAAAATCTGATGGATAGCCAATAATTTTGTAACAATTTTTCTTGGTGTGCCCTTTCATCCGGAGTGTTCACATTGAAAATATTATTTCTTGCCTCGATATCCTTGTCCTCTGCTAGTTGCTTGCATAGCCAAGGTAGGATCACCTCTATCGGTCATAACATTGGCACCCACATTCTGCTGACTTTCATCTTGTACAAACATTGCATAGGCCTGATTCAGCGTAGGTGCAGTTGTCTTCATGAGAATTTGTCTTCTAGCCTGATCATAGGACTCATTCAATCCGCTGAGAAATTGCATAACTCGTTGTTGATGTAGTTGTTCCATATTTTCCTTAGATTTAGGGCATCCGTAATTAGAAAAAGGGAATAACACATCATACTCATGCCAAAGCTCCTTTAGTTTTGTGAAGTAGATTGAAACTGAACTAGTTCCTTGTGAGAGGGTTGCAATTTCACGATGTAATTGAAAAATTCATACTCGATTGACCTTATCGAATCTCTCTCGTAAATCCTCCCAAACAAGATGAGCATCTGATGCATACACAATGCCACCAAAGGAGCTCCTCACACACATTGTTCATGATCCATGACAAAACTATAGCATTACAGGTTTCTCATTGCTCCTGTAAATCAACCGTCTTGTAGGATTCCTTTTTGCACATACCGGTCACAAACCCTAGCTTCCTCTTCCCCAAA